GGTGGTGGTGGGGGTGGAGGCAGGGGAGGAGAACCTGTGTGTGGACTGTTCCTCAGAGGGGATAGCACTTCGTAGGAAGTGGGAGGAACACTGGGCTTGCCCCTCCTGGGTCAGGAGACCTGATACTAGGGGCAGGCTCCGTTTCAATCTGCTGTGTGACCTTGGATAAATGTCTTTCCCTCTCCAGGCCTCAGTTTCCCCACTTTTACAATGTTGGATGGGACTGAAGGACCTCTAAGGTCCTGCCCTAATGGGCTGAGATTCCTCTGTTTCCTTCCCTTGGGGTTGGCAGGTATTTGTGCGTGGGGGTGGGGCGTGGGGGTGGAGTTAGCATTCCTCTGCTCAGAACCTGACAAGGTCAGCCACAGGTACAGGGTGAGGGGTTTCGGTTTCCTTTCTTATTCTGGAATAAGGTGAGGATTGAGGGCTGGACTTCCTTCTCCAGCAAGGCTGAGTTTTAGCTGGATTCTCAAATCCTGTCTTTGCTTTTGTCCCTTCTCCAATGACTGAGGCACCTCCTATTCTCCCCCATCTTACCCCTCAGTCCTTTTCCTCCACTCCCTCCAAATCTCCTGAAGAACCTTCAGAGGGATTGTATACAATACTGAAAAACCTGTCTGTGGCTCACGGGGAGACCCACAGTCTTATGAAAGTGATTGTATACAGTATATGAAATGTTAAAAGGGAAAAGCAGGGAACAGAATAAAGCTGCACACTGGCCCCAGCCAGTTAAGTACTATAGACACGATTTAGGAGACAGTGTGGGGCAAGTGGGAGTTTGAATCCTGACTCTCAGAAGTCATTAACCTTTTAGAGTTGCTGGGGCTCAGAAAACAATCCCCCAAAGTATGACGCTTGGGCATGGCAAGCTCAGTACTTTCAACTAAAGGAGGCTGGAAGCCCTCAGAAGCAAAATCTCTCTCTGCCCTCCTGCCTTCCCGTCTCCTGCCTTTCTCTCCTGAAGCAAGTCACAGAAACCAGAATCCTTCTTCCTCAAGGTGGCTCATAGAAATTAGAACCCTTTTTCCCTAAAGCAAGCCATAAAACCTAGAAAAGTCACTCTCTCCCTTCTCTCTTTAAGACTGTCATCACAGAGGGGTCCTGCTCCACACCTGGGATGAAGAAATGTTATACAAAGAGGCCGAGAAGAATCTGAGCAGACAGACGGTGCTGAGTTTTTCCCCCAGTATACAACCATTAGATCATACCTTTTGTTCAATCAAATTTGTACACAGCTTCCATTCTTCATCGAACTTAAGCGTAAAAATGGACAGTGTCCCCGGGTCTTTGGTCTTCATTTCTGAGGGCTCCCATGTCACATAAAACTTGGATTAAATAAATCTGTTATGTTTTTCTCTTGTTAACCTGTGTTTGGTTGTAGGACTATTGGCTGTGAACCTTATGATGGGTGACGAAAGGTATCACACCTTTCCACTCCTGCAGAGTTTTGATTTTCACCTGTTAAAAAGTACTAATAATAGCAAAGGGTACTTCAGAAAAAATGTGAGGCTTGAAAGACATTTTATATATATAATCCCTAATACTGATTTATCCAAATAGCGTTTTTCTTTTGCAATAGCTCCCTTCCCCTCCACCAGAAGCTCCTCCCCTGCCCCTTCCCCCTGTCCTCACTTTTCCCTCTCCCGGCCCCCCTTCCTCTTCCCTCCTCTCCCCCTTCTCCCTCCCTTCCGCCCTCCCCCTCCC